GATGTGGTGGATTTCTGACTATGATGATGAGTCATTCTAATTGAATTCTTCATGAAATATTTTAACTGACATGAATGTAAACTTGAGAAAAGAGAAAAGGAAGAGAATATAAAAGGAGGAAAAAAACTTAAAAAAGAGGAAAAGACTATTTTTAGACATTTGTAAGATGAAATAAAAGAATCAAAAAACAGAAAGAACTTGACAACATGTTATCCCCACGGTTTAAACAAACACTTCAATTAAAGAAATTCTCTTTTGACTATAAATCAAAAGAAGTTGGAAGTAAATATAATACAACCCAATTCCAATCATTTTATCAAGAAACATTTTCTAATGAATTAGTCATTTTTTTAATAAATGGAAGTCGATTTGCCATTCCTCGTAGCTGTTTACAAAAACCTGTTGCTTTAAAGTCAGCTATTTCAGTTTTTTTGTCAATGAACTCTTCAAAAAAAGAAGAAAGATTTGAATTAGAAGTTGATTCATTGGTTGAAAAACAACTACCAATTTATTTTGAATTTCTAATTAATCCATATGGTCCATCAACATATTCCAATGAAATATTTATTGGATTAGCATTACTTAGATTTGGTATTCATTTAGAAGATGTTATAAATTATATTAAACCTTCAAATTTGAATGAATTTATTTATGAATTATTTGAACGAATGAATGATGTAGTTGTTGAGTCAATTATGTTATTTGATCCTGATAAAGAGCAAAGTGAATTCTTTTTATCATATATTAAAAATGTTGAACATGACTCTAAAAATATTGTTATATTAGAACAATTAAAACATTGGTATACTCCAATGATTATTTCTGATGGAACTGATTTTGTTGAATCAAATTGTACTCCTAGATCAGCTACTTCAACAGACTCAGAACGTCATAGTGATCTTTTATCAAAAAGTGCATTAGATAATGGAACATACTCACCTCTTCTTTCTCCAACACGTCGTTCACAAGGAGCAAATTCATTAGGAGTTCCACATGAAAAGATTAAAGGATTAAAAGTTCAATCATTAAGAGGTAATTTACCACAAAAAAAGATGGAAAGTCTTCCAGACATAAAGAAAGCAGCTGAGATTGAAGCAAATGAAAAGAAGATGAAGAAAAGAAAATCATTTAAAGAACCATTAAAGAATAAAGAAAAAGAAAGTATTAAATCACCAAAACAGAAAGAGAAAGAAAAAAAAATGGTTACGCCACTTCCTAAAACTCGTGAATCACTTGATACGATAACAATGGTTGAAAAAGATTGGAGTCAAAAGAAGTATAATGAACAAGAAGTTATTCAATTAGAAGAAATTATAAGAAGACATATGATGCAAATGATGTATAATACTAATTCATTAAGAAAAAGAAAAGATGCATTTATTGAATTTGTTGAAACAGAACGTAGTTTATTGAAAAATATGGAAATGATGAAAATATATTTTGCAGACCCATTAGAAAATGAACCAAAAGTACAAATAGTATTTGGATTATTAAGTCAATGTATTGCAGCAAGTAAATCAATATTAGTAACATTAGAACAAGGAATGAATGAATATAAATATGATACGAATTTAGGAGAAATTATTAATTCAACATTACAATTTATTAGTCCATTATTAGAATATAGTATTAGTTATAATACTATGGCAGCAGTTTGGAAAGAAATTAAAAATACGGTAAATGGAAAAAAAGTAGTTCAACAAGCAGCAGAAAAGATTTCACCTCAAACATTAGAACAATTATTAATTCAACCAGTTCAAAGGGCAATGAGATATCCAATGATGATAGAAGGATTAATGAAAGTAACGTCACCATATAATCCAGATTATAGAATGCTTCAAAGTGCATATTCAGGATTTCATCAATTTTGTCAAATTTTAAATGAAAGAGCAAAAATGAGAGATAGACTTGTTGAAGTTGCTAAAGAACATCAAATAGATTCTATTGTTGCAAAAGGAAGATTTCATTTATTTACTGCAAAAGGAGAATTAAAAGATAAAAAGAAACAACAAGTGGTTATAGAATTATGTAATGACAAAATTTATTTTTTTGGGAAGAAAGAAAAGAAAAACGTTCTTATTAAAGAATACGAATTAAGTTGCGACATCAACTCCAGTACAAATGGACCAAATGTGACATTAGTAAAATATAGTGAATTACAACCACTTGGTATTGTATTTAACAAAGAGCAAGATGCAGATGAATTTATTCGACTCATTCAATGGTCTATTTCAACATGTTTCTATAAATTAGATGATGAGCGTAGTTGGATGGATCAATTAAAATAATAAATGAAAACAAATATTTATTTTGTTTTGGATTTTTAAAATTGTTTAGGTGGGACTAATCTATTCAAGTTTTTAGTTTTTAATGATGTTTTACAAAGCGGTATAAAATGAAAAAACTTCAAATATCCATGAAAGAAAACTAAAGGGAGTTTAATAATATAATTGTCACAAAATAATAGCCTTTCAAATAATATTGTTAATGTAATCATTCTTTGAATAATAATAAATTTTTCTTTTTATTTTCAATAAAAGATATTTGAGTATAGAATGTACTAAGTTCTGCAACGAAATTTTAAGAATGCAAGACTGTTTACATATAGAAGATAAAGAAAACAAAAAGTATCTAATCAAAGAAGTTAAACAATTTCGAAAATGGATTTATTTTCTTTAATATTCTATAAATAAATTAACGACTGAAAAGGTTCTCAGATAGATGAGAACTTAACCTCAATCATCTAATTTAAGAACAAGACAAAAGCATTTGCAAACATTTAGTACCTATAATTTTTCTTGAATTGTTTAAATGTTTAAACAACTATATTTGCTTCAAATTCATCTAATGCTTTCTGGAAACACTCTCACTCTTTGTTCACTTATCATGCCTTCCTCTATTAAAAATTCAAGTTTAACAGAAGATAGTTCAATTAATGAAGAGAATTCTTTATCTACTGATGAAAAGTCTAACCTTGATAAAATAGATAAAGGATGTTGTGAAGAAATAATTCCTAAATACCCAAAAGAACAAGTTCCTAAATTCAAATTTAAACATTGGAATGAAACAAACCTTCAAGTTGAACTTCAATCTATCTGTCTTTGTTTATTATCTGCACATTGCAAAATTGTTGTTGGTAAACCAAATAGATATAGTTCATTAACAAAACAATTTGTAAAGATCAAAGAAATAGAGTTTAATAGATTTGATAGTATTAATGTAATAAAATTTACAAAAGATAGAGTCTCTATGAAAATGTGTCTTGAATGTTCAAAACAAAATATTAATGCAAAAACTGCACTAAGAAGGCTTCAACCAATCAAGAAGAAAATAGTTATGAATCTTCTTATTGATTTATTAATCGAATTTGGATATTTATTTGAAATACAAAAAGAGACTAAAGAAGGTTATGAAGGATTAGTACGTATCTTTCATAAAAATACTTTATTAATGGAAACAAAAGAAGTTAGAGAAAAAGGTCATCAATACAATATAAAAATTACTTCTCAACTTGCTCAAACAACACCTCTCACTCTTACTCCTTCTTTCTTCAAAGATAATTGATAATACAAAAACATTTTTATAAAAATTATAACATTATTTAATTTATGTTTTTAGAATAACATTATAACAATTATATTCACTAAAATATGACAGGAATTTATTATTAAAAACAAACAAGAAAAAAATATGAAACACTGGAATGAAAAAAAAAACTTATGTCATATATAGAATATTCTTATTCTTAAGTATTTTAACTTTTTTAATAAATATTAAAAGAGAAGAAATGAAATAATTAATTTACTTATTTTTGTTTAAAAAAAAAGTCAAGAAAAACTAAAAAAAAAAGAAAAAGAGAAGAAAAACGAAGGTTTAAAATTTGATAAAAAGCATGGCTTAAGAAATTCAGTTTTGGTCGAAAATTCAGCCACATCACCGTGAATTATTTAAAGAGTAGGTTGAAAACTGTAAAAACATATCTTACAAACAATTATGAAAGCCATCGTCTTTGTTTTAATCTTCGCTGTTGCTTTTGCAGTTACTGCTACTCATCAAGGAGAAATTATCTGCAATCTTTGCACTGGACTTATTAATACACTTGAAAACCTCCTTACCACTAAGGGAGCTGATAAAGTAAAAGATTATATTGGCAGCCTTTGCAACAAAGCTTCAGGATTCATTTCTACTCTTTGCACCAAGGTTCTTGATTTTGGAATTGATAAACTCATCCAACTTATTGAAGACAAAGTTGATGCCAATGCTATTTGTGCTAAGATTCATGCTTGCTAAGTTTAAACTACTCAATTGAGTAAATTTTCAGAATTTCTTTATGTTTCTTTTTATTCTTTTTTCTTTAAATAAAGAAAAGATATAAAATATGAGTTAAAATGTTACTTTCTTTGAGTTTTATTGATAACTTTCCTTCATTCGAACAAAATAATTTTAAACTAAAGAAAAAAACAACAATTCCAAAAAAATAATGAATTATTACATACAAATTAATACCATTGAACAGCAAGAAGAGTATCTATTGGTATTTTCTTCATTAAAGATTTACAACAAAATGGGTTGGTTACAACATTTGGAATAATGTAATTTTCTTTTATTAATTGATGAAATGAAACTGTTCCATCTTGAAGAATCCAAAATGCAGAGCAAACAGTAAAAACAAAATATGGATCATTATTTGGATGAACAATAATTGTTTCTTCAGTTTTTCTTTTTAATGTAGAACTTAATGCTTCATTAAAGACAAATAAAAAGAAACGATTTGAAGAAAATAGTTTATTGTTTGTAGACTTAGAAGGTGAAATTGGATCATAGTGATAACATCCAAAACATTCACCTCCATTTCTTAATACAATAAAAGCGATATTACCTTTTCCACAAACATGAGAATTTAAATCACGTGCAGTAAGACCATCTAATTTACTATTATAAATTATTTTATAATTACTTTTTCCAATCCAATTTCTTAATTTTGCTATTCTATAATCTTTTATTTTGATTTCTTTAATTCCTATTATTTCTCTTTCTTTATTAAAAGAAGGAGATGTTGACCTTGATACTGATTTAGAATTTGAAAGTGAATGACTTTTAGACCTTGAACGGGAATCTTCTTTTTTGTAATTAAGACAAGTTATATTAATAAAAGTATTTTCTGTTTTATAACTAGATGGTGAACATGATATTTCTATATTTTTTATTTTTCTAGGTGATGAGGGTGCTGTTTGATTTGCTCGTGATAAAGAAAATGCTCTTTTTTTACTTTGAACTTCAGTAGAATTAATTCGTGGAGTTTTAAAAAGTCTTGGTGTGAAAACTTCTTTAGGACTTTCTTTGAAAGACTGATCTATAGGAGAAAGACTACCTGACCTTCCATACATTGGACTACATTTTCCAAGAGCAATATCTTTAATAGCTATACATTGACTTCTACCCTCTTGATTTCCCATATTATGATAAATATTTTCTAGTTTTAGTCTTTAATAAATGTTGGTTTAATTTTTATAACTGTTATACAAATGTATTCTTTCACATTAAAGGAATCTAAACGTTTATTTGTAAACTTCGTCTTGAATAGAATAGTCAATATTATCTATTTTTATACTTAAATCTTATTCTATTTCAACGTCTTTAATTCTATCATCCTCTTTATAAAATTGAAGATATTTTTATCTTTACTTTAAAAAATTATCTTAGGCATAAAGTCTCATCTCTGTTACTCTAAATTCAATTTTCTCTTTCTGGTTTTTGCTAAAATTATTCCTTTGTGTAAATATAACTTTTTCTCCTTTTTTTTAATAACTTTAGAAAAAATTACTCATTCTTTGAATAAAAGTATGTATTTCTTCTTTTTAAATTACGTTTTATTGATTAAAGTTATATTCCATTTTCATTACTTTAATAATTTTTTATTTATTAACTCTTTTTTTTAATATTGTGTTAAGATACATATCCTTCCTTTTTAGGTTTAATATTAATAACTTTGCTGAATTTATTCAGGGGTTATTCCTTTTGATTATTCAAAACTATCCTAAAAAAAACTTTTTTGTAAATTGAATGAAAAAATTAGTAGTATATGCTTCTTGGCTTTCATATAATTTGTTTATATAATGCATAAACTATAGGTATTTATTAGAAATTAATAAAAGTACTATGTATATAGTTCATTATACAACACAAGAATCTTACACTGAGTATTATAATTTATAAATAAAATTAATGTATTTTTGATTTTTATTATTAT